AACTCTAGCATGAGAAAAAAAGCCCTGTATTTGTTCTGCACAGTGCAAGCAAATTTAATAACATGCTTGCACTGTGTTTCCTTGCAACTTGTCTCTGGTGTCTCTATAAATGGATACCAGGAGACAAAAGGGCCAGGAAAGAGTATTGTGCATGTGTTTGGAGCCTGCTTGGGGTATTGCGTGTGTGCAGAGTGAGCTGGTCGTGGTGTGGTATTGTGTAATAAGGTCGGTTTTAGTCGTGTTGTGTTTGTAGTGTAATGTAATGCATATGTGGCTAGGGGCTGTAGAGAATGTCTATATAGGGGATGTAGCAAGTGTGTGCATACAGGCTATAGTGTGTGTGTGTGTGTGTATAGGTGATGTAGTGTTTGTAGAGAGTGTGTGTTCAGGGAATGTAGTATGTGTTTGCTTACAAGGAATCTAGTGTGCGTATAGCGCCGGCCCTGCAGGGGCCAGCCGGGGAGATCCTGGGACCTCCCCTGCCGGCCTCGGCCCATGGCCACCGCGGCCCACCGGGCATTTGCCCGGTGTGCCCGATGGCCAGTCCGGGCCTGACTCCATACATATATATGCTTACACTCACACACATACAACCCCGCAAGGATGGAAAAATGGTAGATCTACCGTTGACAAAGCATCACCCAAGTTGTTTGACAGTTAAGATCTACCTTTTTGGCCACCCCTGCTCTATGATGGGAAGCCGAGAAAAAAAATTGACACCAGAACCCTTATACATTAATTCCACCACTGTATACTATGTGCTTAAACAGAGAGGGTGGAATTGTGGTAGAATGAACATATGGCAAAGGTGCCAAAAGTTCCTTGTTCATAAACACATCGCAAAAGAGCCTTGGCTCTTAATGGGTTAAGGACATGCCTCTAGTAGCCGTCATACTGTTTTGTTTTTTTCTACAACTCAGCTATAGTCACAACTTAGCTATTTTTCTAAAATTTTTGATATTAAACAGTTTGTTGACTACAATATAGAGTGGTTTGAATACACCCCTCAGCATTTGGTACACTAATTATATGCTGAGCAGTGATTGCCCTATTTATTAAATTAAATTTAAGAATTTATGTCACCTCTTCAATACAGCACCTGAACATTCTCCAGGGAACTTATTTTCTAGAATGCAAGGATGCAAATGCACGTCAGTTCTTCTAAAGGGGGTACTTGCAGAGACTTGTAATCTATTGCCTTTCTCTCAGTATAGAGTAATTTCCTTCATTTATAACAAAACAAGTTGATACCCATCTACATCTATTTTTGTGCATTCATGCACAGTCACCTGCCTGCAGGCACCCAATTCTTTTTAGGATTAATTCATGGAATATTAAATTTTAGTCAGTTAAAAACCAAAACTAAATAAATTAGACTAAAATAGTTGAGCTATCCCTTTAGCAGAGTTGGATAATTTTTCTATGGTCTATGTATTGCATTTAATTTTTCAAATCACAACAGGTTGGTATTTCATGAATCAATCTGTCACCATTCTCATTTATGTCTCTCCCCACCTCATTGAAATCAATGTCTCCCGCAGTGTAATTAAACATAACAATGTATTAAGACATTAAACAGGGGCTTTTTCACTAGAATATAACATTTAAAGCCCAGGCCCCATGTGTAGCGGCGGAACTGCCGCCGGTACACCTGCATCAGGGCGCGCACGCCGATAGGGCCCATCGGGTGGCGCAAGCATTTAGGGCCACCTGATGGGCCCTATATCTTCAGGGGCCCGGTCAGCACTGAGGCTGTGTAACAGTGCGACCGGGCCCCTTTAAAAAATTGCAGCCGCATCACAAGTGACCACGCAGGATTGAAGTGACAGAGTTAAGACCCCGATCAGGGAAGAGGCAGCTGACTCCTATCAGCCACAGCCACCCACCTGCAACGAAAAGGTAAGATACAGGAGGGTGGCTGAATGTCTGTATGTGTGTGTATATGTCAGTATCTATATATATATATGTCTATATGTATGTGCGTGTCTGTATGTATGCCTATATGTGTGTATGTCTGTATCAGTATGTGTGTCTGTTAGCATGTATGTGTGCGTGTGTGTGTGTGTGTCAGTATGTGTGTATCTGTGTCCTTTTGTATCAGTGCGTGTGTTTGTGTATTCCTGTGGGCGGGATTTGGAGGCGGGCCCTGAGCTGTGTTTGGGGCCCCAAAATTTCTGACGGCTGCCCTGCAGCCAAGTTTGAAAAATATTTCTAAGTTGGAGAATTTTTCAGTTTCTGTTATTTTTGCTAAAGGAATAAAATGCAATTACCTTGTCAAATCTCTACAGTTCCCCAGTTTGGTTTCAATGTTCAACACTTAAATGTTCAAAAGTTTTGAAACGTTCAATCTCTTGTCAATGTATAAATTGCTCTGTTTTCTCTTAGAACTGGGAAACTTAGGTTCAAATCCCGGTCAGACCACTAGCAAGTACCTTCAAACACACAGCTTGTGCCATATAATGTGTATAATAAATTACTTGCGGTCTTCAGTAACAAGGTGTGAATCATACAGACTGGCCCAATTGTAATTACTTGGATAGGGATGAAGTATGTAGGGATGAAACCTGGATCATTGCCCTGTGATGACTTATTAAAAATGTAGTATGTCTGTCAATCCTACAGCATTCTCTTTAGGGGTATCCCACCCTGCCATTACTGGCTATGGAGAAGTGCATTATCCACAACTGAATCTGGAGTCATTCATTAAAATAGACCAATTAACATTTGCGTGACTGAATGGATTTGATGGACTTTTTAAACCATCACCAGTGTACAGTGTTTACCAATCCCAAATAATGTAAAGATAGTAATATGAATTTGCAAGGCAAGCTTGCCTTTATTAGCACAACCATTAGTTTGGCAGAGTTTAAAGAGGAAATGCAACTTGCCAGGATTTTTAATATGTTTACTTATCCTTATATGTAACAAATATATATACGTGTGAGGAGTGAACATAAAATATTGAAATGTACACCTCTTTATCTTGTATTTGGACACCCCATCTTAGGTCCCTGTCGATCATTGTGATCAACTCAGTTCTTTGCACCTGGCAGTCAGCATAGAGAAAACATACAGAGGTGGAGAAATTAAATTTAACACAAAGTAAGTGCAATTTTCAATGTTTTATTTAAAGGTGTAAATTGCAGAGAAGAAATGACAGTTGTCCTTTAATTTTCACACATAACTTTTTTGTCAGCTAAGTGATGATTTTATTATTTATATAGCGCCATCACATTCTGTAGCGCTGTATGATATGAATGTAACATGCGCCACATCCCCATCTAATGGTTTTAATATCTGCATTCTTCTTTCCTTCAAACCTAACTTACCGTTACCAAGCTTAATTGAGGTTTGGTTTTCCCAACAATATAAAATAATTATTACCTTTCAGTGGGTAGTTTCTTTTGCCAAATAGTTTACACCCTGCTAAATATGGAAAGTTTTATAAAAGGACTGATCAGCATAAGATATAGAGTGGGGAAAAAAGGTTTATGGTTTAACTTACCAACCATCAGATTTTACATGGAATGGACTCTCTCTCTCTCCCTCTCTCTCTCTCCAGATCAACATTTTTTGCAATTTGGTTTTCATAAATCACAGTATTTTGGAATTGAGCGAATAAACCCTTTTGTGTTGAGAAAATATTTATCAAAATAAAAAGAAACACAGAAATAAATGCACAAAGTAGATTTTATTACACACAACGGCATCACAATTCAAACAGAGTCCTTGTAATTACTGTTAATGCTTCAGATTTTGCCTTGTCCAGATGTTGTCCTGTAGCGTCCAGTACACTCATCCATAAAGTAGGAAACACTACAGCGTTCAGACCTGTCTAGTAGTGCTTTCTACTTTATGGGTAACTGCACTGTATGTTGGATCACAGACTCCTGTCTGTTGGGGGTGAGGGTTATCACTCTTTAGATATTGAGGTCCGCCCGCAGGTATACAATATTTACACAGTAAAACATTCCATTAGCAATCTACATCAAAACAAATAACACAATGAAATGTTTCCCACATATTCTTGATTAAAAGGGACACTCCAGGCACCCAGACCACTTTTGCCCATTGGAGTGTTCTGGATTCCAACTCCCATCACCCTTAACCCTGCAAGTGTAATTTTTCAAAACTGCAATAATTACCTTGCAGGGTTAAGTCCTCCTCTAGCGGCTGTCTATCAGACAGCCACTAGAGGGACTTCTTGCTTCTTAGAACACGAAAAGCTTTAAATTACGCTGGGCGTCCTCACGCTATGCATGAGGAACTCCAGCGTCGCCGGAATCCCCATAGGAAAACATTGAATAATGCTTTACTATGGGGAGGTCTAATGCACGAGCACAGCCATTGCCGCGCATGCGCATTAGGTCTCCCTCGCCGACGTCAGGAGGAGCATTTGCGGAGCCTGACTCACCGCCAAGGGACATCGAAGGGGCTTTAACCAGTGCCAGGAAAATGGGTTTGTTTTCCTGGCACTGGAGAGCCCCTTTAAGGCTACAGTATAGGGGGCCAAAAAGTAGATCTTCAGGTGCTGTAGGACTACAAATCCCTGATAAAGCATGCTGCCACAGCTGGGATATTCTTTATGACCTCCAAGTACATGTCTATGTATAATGGGAGCAACAGTAGGTTGGGACAAGTAAATGGGATACAAAAAAGGTAGACTTTTGGTTGTATTAGAAGTAATTGTTATATTTAAAATTGACATGTACTGTATTAAAATAAAAAAGATAAAGTAAAGAATATTTGCATAAATACTTTTTAACTATTCAGTAAGGTTTTTACACAGTTGAAACAGGGCTTTACATGCATATTGAGAGAGGTTCTAACAGCTGGAAAAGTTGCAATAAGGTGTGAGAATACATTCTAATAATTTAATAAATTCTACAGATTGATAATATGGAGCCTGGTAATAAAACTAATCACCGTTTACATCTTAATGAGTGTATTAAAATAAGTTTATCTGTTTGATCAATATATACTTAAGGGTTGATTGTAGACTACAAGACTTTAGGGCCATGAGAAGCCTGCATTAATTCATTTAGTGTTGGACTAAAACTACTACAATCCTCAGCCAGTGGCTTGCATAGATTGGGAACAGATGTAAGCAAATAATTGGAGTAGCCCAGGTTGTTTAACACGACACATTCAGATGGATATTTGAAATAGGTTAACGATTCTAGAACAGCAAGCATGAGTAAAATAAATAAATAACTATAATATAATGATAAAAAAATAGTACTAAAAAACGAATTTTATAACTCCCCATAACACACTCATGATGAAGATTTTGCCTTGTCCAGATGTTGTCCTGTAGCGTCCAGTACACTCATCCATAAAGTAGGAAACACTACAGCGTTCAGACCTGTCTAGTAGTGCTTTCTACTTTATGGGTGGCTGCACTGTAGGTCTTTGTCTTCTCCAGGATTGGGCTTTCCTTGACGTCTTCTCAAGTCTCATTCTTCAACAGTATCATAGCCAAATGTCTTGTACGTCAAACCAAAATGTTAATAAGAATGGCATCAGTCAGTTCAATTTGTAATGGAACCAAATAGGTAATAATTTTATTATAAATTAATTTATTACAAATCTCCCAGTTTAATAGGAGACAGGAGATTAGTACTACAATAATGTATTTGTAAAATTGCCATCAAGGATTCACAGCTGAATGCATGTTTCTTGGTTCAAATAGTTTTTTTGTTTTTGTTTTAAACTGGTTCTGGATGAAAAGTAACTGTCTATCCATTTAGAAGAAAGGGGTTTAATAATATCATTACCTGGAGTTAAAGGGAAACCACAATTTCAAATGTCTTTCTTAGCTGATCCAGAGTAAAAACCTTGTGTGCATTGGGGAAAACCTTTCAGATCACAATCCGGAAGGCGTATAAATGGCCTGTATGCTAAGCAGAAGTGGTTTTAGGCAACCTAACTGCTACAAGAAGTTTCAGCACTTACCAACAGGAAGTAGAGGTCTTTACTTACTTCCTCTTGCATTGAGAAGTCCTCTCAACTTTACCTCCTCTAAACTGGGGGGGGGGGAAATACAAAGAATTACAATTCTGGTTTAAAATGTATGAATAAGTAAAAGTGCAAAGCTCTAAAGAAAAATCAAGATGCAATGAACACTTAATCAAAACCTTAGTACGCACAGGAAAGGGCTTTTTTTTTTTTTTTGCCAAAGCAAACTTGGATAAGAATATGAATACTGTTAAGCTGACCATGTCATGCTTTAGCTAGGGATGTTATTAAAATATGCATAACTCAGGGCATGCAGGTTTTTTTGGGGTATTGCTAGAATTATAAAAAAACAACCCCACCCTTCCCCCCTAAGTTACATGCATTCTGAGTTACATATATACACACACACTATCTCTCTCTTAAATTACAGTTTCTGAGGAACCAAGTGGTAGAATTCAGGACCTGAACTGGATAAACTAATATGAGTGCAAAAAGCAGAAATATAGGCATGCTCCTTGTTCTCACATTTACATTTCAGCTTTACAACAAGGTTATGGTGCACAGACACACAATTATACTGCTTGATTTACTAAACCAATGGATTCCTATTTTTAATTAGTATAGCCTTGTAGGGGAAAAAATACAATACATTTGAATACTAGAGAATTTATCAGTTCAGCTATTTTAGACAAATATGAAATTGCTGATCAATTCCAGAATAACTCATAATTCTACCAGGAACTACATTCTTAACTAAAACCCTTCCCCAGAAGTAACACGTAATTTTGAGATATTAGTTGTAGCACATTTGCTCTTATAGGAGGAACATTGTAATGTTAGAAATACACATTTTTATTCCTAATGGTATAGAACCTTGTTAAAAGTCCCCATCCCTCCTTTTCTGAAACTTTTGTGCTGTTCAGTTCCTGGCTGGCCCTGCCTCCTTGGCTGAAATCATCAAGATAGATATCAGCCAATCCGAGGCTTGTGTGCACTGCACTGTGCCAATCAGATAGTCTCTATGACACCATCTGATCAAAATAGCATAGTTTTACTCTGTTATTTCATAGGAAGCCTCTGTTCAATCAGGTTTGTTTACTAAAGTAAGAATTGTCAGGATTTCAAAATGAATTATGAATTTAAGGACAAAATAAACAAAATGGAAGCAATGCTTGATTCCCCCCCTTGTTTGGCTATTTTGGTGTTAAAATTGACACTTTGATTTTCTGACAATTCCCACTTTAGGGAATAATCTAAAATGTGTAAACCAACACTTGACAGAGAGCGGGGGTCTATCTGCAGCTGCAGGCAAACCCACTAACCTGGACTGCTGAAGGATATATTGATAAGTATCATTATTTTTGAGTTTATTGCAGAAATTAATGCATTATCTATAAAAGCCAATAAATCAGAGGGTCATTTTGAGGCCGTTGATTGCTTATTGAAGAAATGCAGCATAGAAGCGGTTACACATATTCAGGAATAAGTCTCATGGGAACACAGGTGACTTAAACATGTTAAAATTATATCTGTAGATTTTGAAAAAACCCGCTTGTGCCCCAGATTTAATTTATCAGGAAGAGTTATGGGTTAAACCTAACGCAGACATCATAAGACTGCATTGGGAAAAAATGCACACCTGTTTAACATTACCAGTTATAGTGTAACTTTAACACACACACAGACTTTTTTTTAGCAGCATTGTAATTGTTAATCTTTTTATCTGTCATTTCTGCTGCTATAGCTCGTTTTATAGAGATTTTTTTTTCTTTTGAAAATGCAGTTTAGTTAACCACTCACCTGCCTGAACCCAACGCTTCTTCTGAAATGACGTGCTCCCATTGACGTTCTAGAATAAATCAATGGAATGAATAATAATACATCAGATAGCAGAGGTTTGCTCCTTCATATAGGAGCATAGGGTTCAAATCCTAAGGGATATCAGTCATGATTAATTATTGATTGATTGCTTCTGACAGCTTATGGAACTTAGAAATTTCCCAGCCCACTTAAACATAGTAAAAAATAAAATACAAATAAAATGGGTTACATTGCAGCTAGATGGACTGAGCATCATGGTAGATCTATTCCATACACATCTCCCTTTCCAATTATGGCCATCACTGCACTAAGGCAGTAACCCCTAGGCGAGCCCCTTTATAATTTCTCTGAAATGTCAGCTGCTGAGTTATCAATAATTAAACACCGCACCGCTAGAGAATCATATTTTATCATGTAAAATAGTTGTTTGCATTTCACTATCATATTCCTGATTTTATTCTTAATATGTAATGTATATTTACCCTTTGTAATCGTAAATTATTTGTAGTCCACCAGTGCATGCTGTAAATCTCTCTCTTTTAACAGGTGTGGGGTGAATTCAGTGCATTGTGGATGATTGATAATGCTATTGTGATTTTTAGGCCAGATAACCTGAAGTAGCACAGGTAATTTTCGAATTTATTTATCTTTTGGCCTAAAATTTGCAATGCCTTTACTAATTCTTCATAATTTCTGCATGGATATTGTGTGTCTCTGAAAATGACCTTCCAAAAAAGCTAAGATATGTATAATTACCATTGCAATACAATTCATTGTTATGTTTTCTGGAATATAAATTCCAGCAATTTGTTTAACAGGGTTATTCAATAAAGTGCAAATTCAAGTAAGGCCAAAATAGCCAAACTGAGAAAAATGTCATCTATGTTTTTTAATCCACTACTCTGGCCTTAAATTTGAAATTCACTTTGAATTCTTACTTTATTGAATAGCCATATATATAACGTTGCATAATTTGTGTTTATAATGTAAATTATCCAATAATTAGTTTTTTACTAATGTGAGAATTTCTGGGAATTCAGTGTAAATTTCAAAATGTAGGCCAAATTAGAATTGGCCTAGTGAATTATGTTTTCAGTTTGGCTATTTCGACTTTGTTTAAAATTCCATTTGAATTTACACAGCATTCTCAGCAATTATCACTTTACTGAATAACCCTCTATAAACCTGGAACTGTAGAGAAATGACAAAACTTAGGCCAAACTAGCTGAGTGAAGAACTCCCAGGCTGGAACATTTCTCCAATTCAGGTATATTAGGCTAATTCATGTCCCAGCTGAGAATTAGTAAGATTAAACATTTCACTATATATCTCCACTGCTGTTAGTTGTTTCTACATAAGTAAAAAAATATATATTTTAAAGACATGTTTAATGCTCCTGTAAAAAGTTATGTAAAATAAGGCCCGGTTAGTTAATTTTCAAACGGCTACAACGTAGGCCAAAATAGCTTCTACATATCCAGATGGCAAACTCAATGGCTTTACACTTCCTGAGCAGCTGTATTCGCTGCGCCATTTCTTGCACAAACCATTACGTCTTACGCCAGTTACCCGCATCCTCCTAGAATGGAACACTCAGTCAGCATCCGTTGTCAGTTCTACGCCTTAAGTCAAACTGTGTTTCACTTCTGCTTTTCCCCCCCCTCCCCTCTTTCTTTCTAGAAGCCATCACATACACCACAGGAAATGGAGGCCATATTTAATAGCATTTTTTTAAAGCTAAAACTATTCTTGCATTTTCTTGTAAAAAAAATGAATCCGGCTGTAAATACGTACGATTATTGTAAAATAGTTGTAAATACACATTTACTATGGCATACAGATGAAACAGACTACGTGTTTAACCCTTTCAGGGTAAGATACATGATTACCACTAGGGTACATGCTTAAGGCCATCGTTGGTTATATGCACATTTACAAATTTTGGTGTTTGATAAAGGCTTCTTATTTAACTATTTATCAAGCTGTGTAGATTCCAGAGAGGCTGATATCCAAGAATACTTCATTGTTTATGCCATCGTGTTTAAAGAGTACACTCCACCTCTTTTTAACTTTTGAAGTGTAAAAGAGGAACTTTAAAAAAAAATGGATTTAGCATTTGATGTGTTCTACGCTAGTCCCTGCAATGTCCTCCTTTTAATAAGGCTGGCTTGGGGGTTTTTTTTAGTAATTTTTATTTTATTTTTTTAAACAACCTAATTTAATCTTACAACAGTGGAAAAGTGCAGCTCAGTAATAGTAATCATAGTACCATGGTTCTTAAGAGACGGTCCAACATCACGTTAAGATGAAGACCAACAGCATTTCTTCAGCAAGGGGAAGCAGTTTTGCAATGTATTGAATAATACAAGAGGAAATAATGCACAAGACAGACAGAAAGGGGAACATCAAACATTAGCAATTTCTTGTCTGATGGCTTGCACTTTTTTTTTTTTTTTACAGTACAAATTAGCTTTAGGCCTGGTCTCTCCAAAACGATATTCTATAATATACATATAGATATAACAGGTTGATGGGATGCATTGCAAGGCGTTATTGGTGGATCCACATTAACCATTCTGCACAATCAATACTTTTTGCCAGAGAATTTTGCAAAAACATTTTTTAAGACTTTTCCATTTTGAGTGAGAGGATTCAGAGTAAATTAAATATTTGGTAAAGTTCAGCTTCTGTTCACCTGCTACTACACATTTGGATTTGTGATCAATAAAAATGTTTCTTTGTTAGTAAATATTTGCTTAAATAATATTAAAAGTCTAAACTGTCAATTATAGATCACCTTTCTAGCTGTTTGAATTTTTTTTTTATAAACTAAAATGCTCTGAATAATATCACAGGTGTTTGCAAAACAGACCTGGCCTACAATGGAACCTATTTGCGGTCTTACACTTACCGTATATCATTTGTTCCATGGCGGACTTTCCTGGACTTGTCCTCTTCACATACCGCAGCTTTGTCTTCGCCGAGTAGCAATGGCTAAAAAGAATTCCAGCTGGGCTAGCCTCAGCTTTTAATCTCTCAGAGCCAAACGTCACTAACCACAGAGGGGAACTAGCATAAGTCCCGCCCAAAAGCCAAGATGTTACCAAGTCTAGTGAGCACACTACATGTTGTAAATGACGTGTTTAAAGACAGGTGTAAAATAAAACATTTAAGAGACTGGGTTTTGGTATGACGGTGAAATAAGACAAATTTAAATATAAAAAATAAATTGTAAAAAAAAAAGCTGCAGCGTTATGAGCAACATCTTCCATTTAAATTTACTGCAGGGTAACCACTAATATTTCTAGCTCTCGATCACATACTTATTTTGTATGTCTGACCAAGCATCACTAGACAACTAAATTCCCAAACATGCCTTGACTGTAGCAACAAAAAAACACATGCACTATATAGGCTTTTAATTATAAAACTAAACCGGACAGCAAATTTTACATCCCTATCAGACAATATGAATGTTTTATTTAGAAACATTTTAGAGAGGAAAAAAAAAAAAAAAAAAAAAGTTAAAAATTAGACGAACATTTTAAAAGGAGTGAGAAATTCTTAAGATCTTAATGTTATTTAGGTCTTTGCTACCCATGTAATCAGGATTTATTGAACTGAAGGCAGGAAGCAGATAAAATCCTATCAATGTCATGGTTACCAGAAAAAATGTATAAAAGGGTTTAAGAGAAAAAGTAGTAGCAACTTCCCAAATTTCAACAGCCCACACTTTTTCTACAGGACTGATCCGCATTTCCCTCAATGAGTAATGTTGAGATAGAACTTTGAGATAGATATGTATGTATAGTATTCTGTTAGGAACCAAAGGAATAAAACAGAAATGCCATAGAAAAGTTTTTGGGTTTTTTTTGTGCATAAGCAATAGTGAGGTCTGTAACAGGGGAGGTTAACTGGGACAGTCAGCATTGTGTGCAGGGGCTGCTGTATAGATACATCTTATCTCTGCACACAGTCTCTTTCACAACCTGCTGTGGTTAGCAATCATTCCTGGGAGAGGAGGCCTTGAAGGGCGAGCTGCACATGTTAAAGATTCAGTCATGCTGTGTATGTCACATACACAGTAAACACATGTAGCATTTAAATGTGCTAAAGTGCTCTGTGCAATATAAGGCACTTATACAGAGATGTAAACCAAAAAGAGTATATGTTAATAGTAGCTACTATACAGGTGTAGGTTCCCTCAAACAAACTTGTTTTCTACATGTAGCATTTAGATTGTAATATTGTTGACAGCCATGGTGTTTGATTAAATGGATAAAACCACCCCATATTCAAAAGCAGTATTTAAAGCTACACAAAGTTGTTGCACAGAACAGGATGTGATGTATGTTTTAGATGCATGAAAGTGCACCTATAATATATATGCCATAAAGGTTGCTGAATATACCAGAGTTTTATATTTCTTAACTAGTATGGGACTTTTTTGTTTTTAATTCTACAAGTAAATTACAATTTCATGTAGGTACAAATTATCTCTCACACACACACACGATAAGAGCTTGTTCTTTTGTAAAAAACTCAGAACAAAATAAAAAATAATAATGCATATTTAGGAAAAGATCCAGTCAGACACACTAAATGCAGACAACTTTATATAGATATGGGATGAGAAATGGCAGAGCAACTAGAAGACATGGCAGTGAGATCTAATAAAGGATTTAATTCACAATGTAGGATAGGTATCGAAGAGACACTTGGTAGAAGATATTTCCTGTCCCCACCCCCACTTCTCTGCCTCCCGCCTGCATTCACCACACAGGAAGTGACATCGCAATTTGCTAGCTTAAGGCAGCAAGGCCGAAAGTAGCAGTTATGCCTATATATGGCAATCCACAGCGCGTGCAATGTTAACTTGTTCAAAAGCAGGTGCCAGACCTCTACCGTATGCTAACCGTGGCTTTTTTTTTTTTTTTTTTTTTAAACACACACCTTGAAGTATCTGGGAAACATTTAGCAATATAAATTTAAACAGCAAAATCACAGTGTGCAAATTATGCATACAATAATAATACAGATTATAACAATATGCTGGTCTATTCTATAGTCCATGCAAAGTTGAGAAGTATGATTGAATAAAAGTGCAGCTTTGGGTATGACAGGAAAGCGTTAACTTGCCTACTAAACCATCTTTCCGTTACATTCAGTGTTTCTTTCAGTAACTGTTAACCACTTCCTTTCTACATCGCTAATAGATTAGGACATGTGACGTCTCTGCGGTAGACAAAGAGTTAAGATCACATTGTGGTTTAGTTATATGAATTGTTTCAAAGTCACCGTCTGAATACATATAGCTACATGAAAGCATTTTTTTTTTTTTTAAATGGAATAGAAGACCAAACAGACCATTATGCAGAAACAAATATTTTTTATTTAAAGCTCCATTGTCAGGACTTCCCACTTTCCTTCATGAAGTGCATATCTGCCACATTATGAGTAAATTAATATTAAAGTATGTAAAAAGTGTGCTCCCCCCCATCCCCCAAAGAAAACCACAGCTTCAACAGCATAACAGGAAAATAAAACCAACGGAAGAGAAAACACAGGTTGAATCTCTGCTAAAGATCCCCTCCCACAGTCACGTCTTGATGGCAGTGTCTCTGGATTTGTACACCACACCGCGGCTCTTCAGTTCACGTACAATGCCTGCAAAACAGCAATAGTGTTAAAGCACGTTTGTTGCAGATTACAAAGGAGAAAACAGACAACAAAAAACGGCAGACAAGTATCTGCTCAATGATTTGGAGCCGGAAGAATTAAACACTTATCATTGGTGGAAAATGATTCTAGAATTAGATAAATATAGTCTCAGTAAAGTCTGTAGCAGAGTACTATACCAACTAGTAAACGTAGCAGGAAGAATCTAAACACCCCACATAAACTAATCTTTCTCTCTTTGACCTGTAGGTCAACTAAGAGGTTTTTAGATATATGAACACACAAGAAAATAATGGATGTATCTGCACAACACATAAGACAACGCAGTTCATTGAACAATGTAAAGTAATTTCTTCTGAAATCTGATTATATATTCAACACAGTACATTTAAAACCAAATTTGAAAAACTGATATACTCGATATAAATGTTTGCAGTTGGGTAAATGAAACCTAAATGTGTACAATGCCACACACTGATTTTCTGCTTATATGTAAAAGCAGAAGTGACCATGTGCAGTGCATCTAATGTTGGAAAGGTGTTTAGCTTATTTTAAGCACTTTATTTTTTTCTGTTCCTTTGAATATTGTTAATGTCTCCCTAAATTCAGTGGTAATTCAGACTTGCACAGAGGAATTTAAGCCATACCACTTTTGTGCAGAAGATTCTTTTGGTGTCCATATGAGTCGGACCAGGTAATAGTGTAAGTTTTCTTCCTAACAGTGCATTTGAGCTAAGAACCTCCAGACTAGTACTCCATACAACAAGCTAGTTTTTTTTAATTTTCTGTCTTTTTGTACTCCATTTTTTTTCTCCCTACTGAAAATTCACCTTTAATGCAATGCCCAACAGTTAATGAAAGGAAAAGGTTTTCAGATACAGGTAACTGCAATCAATGTATATTTTCCTAGTCACTCACAAATTTAGAAATGTAAATCCTATCCTCAATGAGGGCTATATTTTCAGAAATCTTATGCTTACCTTGTGGCAGACGCCCAGTTACAGACACTGCATACACCCCGGGTTTGAAGTTAGCTGATAGGGAGAAGAAAGGTGCAATGTAAGTGGAACAGAGCAAGTACTCAATGTATCAATGAGAATTAAATATGTTAAAATTAAAGGAATAGTACACTTAACAATACAACACATACATATTTAACTGTTTGTAGAGGTTTTTCAGAAGTTATTTAAAAAACAAAAATGCCTGTGTTTTGTTTAATTTTTTTTAAATAAAATGATTTTACGTTTATAGCATTAAAAGAAAACATTGGGAAAAACGTAATTTTAACTGCAAAGTAAAATTTAAAAAAAATGGGAAAGGTCCACATCTGGTCATCAAGACCAACCGCTGTAATTTTGCATGTTTGGGAGTGATAAACATGAGTAAAACGTGATAAAAGGCAATGGAGAATGTCTGGCTTTACTGTAGTCCTTAAATCTACAAGTGCACTTGAAAGGGTTTGATCCAGACTTGCTCAACAATCCTTTGGCAAATGGTGGGTTCTGTGCGAGAAATGTTTTCTAAAGATGTTCTTGTGAGGAGATTAATTGCACTTCTTAATATAGCAATAAGCTTTTTTGTCCTACTCCATTTGAAGCAATCCTGAACCCATGACGGGCATCACCAGGCCACATACTGCATTTAAGATAGTCCCACTCATCTTGTAGGAATAAACTACTTCTGTTTCTCTCAGATGAGCCTCAGATGCTCTTGCGAACACTAGCTGGATGAGGTGACAGCTCCAGGATGAAGGCCTACTGTGGTTACAATTGGACCTGAGGGGCTGTCATCTATGTTACAAAGACAATGAGGGTGTGCCCTACATGCCTGGGTGATTTAGGTCTATAAAATTCCAGGGTATCCCTGATGCAATACTCAGTTATTCTGTAGCTCCCTGTCCTGGCAACCAGCATTCTATTCCTATTCTTCTTGCTGCCCTGATCTGTTCCAGGTTTGTATCCTTACTCCCTGCTAATCTACTGGATTCCTGACCATTGGCCTGACTATAGGTTATTCGATGTGAGATGCCCGCCCTGACTTTTGGCTTTGTCTCATTCCCTTAATGGCTCCTATGCTATGATTCCAGTTTCCCTTGAGACTTCAGTTTCTTCAATAAAGCCCCAATGTTACCACATACTTTTTGTGAGCCTATCTGCATCTCCAGGCCTTCCTTGGGTGTGCCGATTCTCAAGGTATGCCATTGTCTCCACTTTCCATAACAAGCACCAGAGTCGTGCTGGTAAGGGAGACA